ACAAATTTTATGGCAATGAAATTTGTTTGAGGAAGAACAGTCTGAGAAATAATGTTCACAAGATTGACACCATTAGAAGTAAATATCTTAAAGGATAGTTAAATGTAGAGTCATTTGAAACAATTCAAGTTGATAATAAAGTTCACATCATGGTGCTAACAGCTGTTTTTTTTTTTTTTTTTTTTTTTTTTTCATTTTTAAAATACAGCTTGCCAAAATATATGTACATTTGTTTATCTAAAGATGGTTAAAGGATGACTTAAATAGACATAGCATTAAATATCATGTACATGTATGTACTGTAGTTGTAGATATCCTTTTAAAGAAAAAAATATTTCTTGAATACCCAACTCAATATGTTCCCAAGATCCACCATAATTTGTAACCACAAATTACATTTGAAGAAGGTTGTGGACATATTTTTTTAAGTGGAAGTACACTCAGAACAATCTATGCGAGTTAAATGCTACAATCAGGTAAAATAGATAAGAACAGTTTAAAAGAAAAGTTTATGTAATGTATTTTGAGTACATTGTTCATTCTTAATCTTTTTAATACAAAAAATACCATGAATTTTATTGTATGTGTGCACATATTGGCATCTTTTTTTTTTTCAGTATAGACATTGATATTTCAGCTAGTAGTACTCACAGATGAAAATTATAAAATTATCTGGTTTATTTGAGAAAAAACCGACATAGCTCCATATAAACCAGTTTTCTTTAGTTCTTAGAACTGCTTTTTTATGACATGCCCTATTCATCAGAAAATTCCGCTCACCATCATACAGGTGTGTTAGTAATTTGTGTGATGTGTGCAACATCTCATAATGAATTTTAGAGGTCTTCGCGGCTGAAACAAAGCCAATTAAAACATAAGGTCCCAATACCTCTGAAAGCCTACTAAAAAAATGAAGCAATTTTATGAACCACCAACCAGCCTCTTTTTAAAAGGAGTTACCATTGAATTTTGCTGCATCAATAGTGATTCCAATCCTGGTATTTCATTGTATTCAACTGCCAAACCCATTATACTCATTGTCAAAGAGGGATTAATTTTTTGAAATAAAAATGTGAAAACATAGACAAGTTCATTTTAGAATGACTTGCAGGAATATTTTGTGTTCGATTCGGGTAATTTTTATTGTTTGTAACATTAGTTCCAATATTGTCATCTCCGTATGTGTAGGCGTCACATGTACTTGCACATGTATTTTTATGGTCATTTTGTTGAATGAAGTTTTAAGTCTATATTTATTTACAGTGACTTGGAAACTTCAAAATTGAGCAGTTATGTTGTTAAATATTTTAACAAAATAAGAAAAAAAATATAACATATGCCAAACAAATGTAAGTTTACATTAGTTTTTCATGTTATTGACATCTAAGTCTACATGCAAATATAATTCAAATATTGTAAAAAAAAAAATGTGGGGTTATTGGTTCTGTAAAATGAATACAGGTTTTTAAATGTAGTATAGATTTATGTGTGTACACTCTTTTCATGGAACGTACTGTTTTGCTGATGTGGTTCCAGTCTGCTTTGACAAAGGGGTAAGCTTAATTTGACAAGAAAGGTGGGTGAAACACCTACAATTATGAGAGTATATATATATATATATATATATATATATATATATATATATATATATATATATATATATATATATATATATATATAATCACCTGGAGGCTGGTTTAAAAGACTTTCCACATCAAGCTGTATACTTTTGTGATTTGGTCTGTATCGGTGCAGTTTAAGAGATTGACAACTTAAGAGGCTGGCTGTTACAGTAGAAATGGCCAATTAATAGCCCCCCCTCCCCCAAACAGTAGGAAGCAAAATTATTAGAATGAGCAAAAACCCTGTTAGTGCAATTGCATAGACCTCTTAATATAGTGTATTGGTCCAGACTGTAATGCCAAAATATACCGCTTGATTTGAAAAGAGCCTTGTTTTCAGCTATTTGATTGGCTGATCTAGCAGGACATATTTATGCATATCTCCCAAGGAAATATTGGTAATTACTGCAAACAAATTCTGCTCAAAATAGTTGTTGCCAAGAAACGCATCCCTTTAGTCTTGACACAATCTATTTAATACTCCAATCTATTATAGTGATATTATCATTGATTACAGCATCTTGTAACATCGATAAAGTTTCAGAACAAACAGCATCTTTGTTGAAATGCTCCAGCCATTCTCCTTCCTCATGAAAATGATCCTCATACCACACTTTCCAGTAGTTTATATTTGTATACAAAGCTCACTTGGATGTGGGTTAATAATGTACTCATATTGCAATGTAACAGTATCTTTTTAATGCTCTAAGCACTTATTTATGTTTATAAAAATTAATGCATAATATTAACAGGTATATACAGTATATACAGTAGTTGGAAGAAGCTGTACATGTATGACAGAAGTGATAAAGTGGTAAAATTGCAAGATTGCTCAACAGTGTACATATATTATATGCTGTATATATACTTATGTGATGTCTAAATGGAAGAAAATTATAATAAATGTTGTGTTCAGTGTTGAGGCAAAAATTGTTTATCGTTGCTGGTTTGCATTTCTGTAAGATGTAATGCAGTCAGCTTGCAGAGAAATTAAAATTGTTGGTGTCTTATACTGGATCAAATGTTTACAGACAGCCAATACACATGGAATGTCCATTCTTTATTTGGAGCACAATAATAGAATTTAGTTCTATCATTTCTATCAGCAAAATTGAAAATGTTCCTGCTTTTGAATAATATTACTGTTTGTCTTTCAAAAAGAATAATATACTGAAAATGTCTTCTATCTCTTCATTTTACTAATTTGAAATTATATCAGTTATTTCACCAAAAATTAGAAAAAAGATTTTTGTTATAATATTTTGATGAAACATGAAGAACATATCACTGAAACCACTTTTTTACATTTATTGGCTAGTTCTGTTACACATCATGCAAAGACACTCATAAAATGTTATTATATTGTATCCTGCATAAAAAATTTCATGTGTTCACAATTCTATCACAGTTAAAGTTCACAGAGAATTATATACATATCAAAAAGTCAATTCAAAACATACTCTGCCAAAATAATTAAAAGGACTTTTTTTACCAAAAAAATTAAATAGATATACAGATACATAAAAATATTAAATCAGCATGGACGGAGTGTGTTTAGTTGTTTCGAGAAAGTGCTTTCTCAATTTACAATTCTTTTTTTAATTTACAATGTCTTCTTCCCTAGTTTACAAAACCTATGTAAACTGTCCAGTGGTATTCTATATCCTCTCCTTTGCTTTTATCTTGGGCTTTCTACAAATAAAATTCAAAATGTCAGTATGAAAATATGGTCTTCCATATTTTTTACCTACTGCCATATATACATTCAATTTAAATACTTTGAGTGTCCAGTGTTAAATGCAAAATCTAACCAGATTTATTTTCTCTCATAATTATTTTTTATTCCAAATCTCTATATTTGTATTTTTTCATTTATGTTTTATTTATGTATTTATTTTCATTCCTCCTCTGTGACGCAAATGCAATGACAGTTAAAACCTACTGATTACTTAAATAATGAAATAATCTTCGCTAGAAAAAAAATCTAGGCAGAGAGATGTTGACCCACATGTTTACCTACCCACTATATGGTCCCTTCTAGGCCTGATAATGCCTTGCCCTGCAGGGGGGTGAGTAGCAACTAACAGCACACCAGGTCCAGTGGTTTTAGATAATCCGCTTTGGTCATAATCATAGCCAGTCATCACAGGTGAGATTGGTTAAGGAAAAATGTGGACAGTTTGACACAAATTCCTAATAAATCATGATTGAGCAATTATTTTTGCATTTATTTAATAGGGTTCAATACTATTACTAAGACCACATGCCCCCCCCCCCTCAAGAAAGCAACTGCCTCTTTACTTGTCAAAGTTAACAAAAAAAAAAATTGTACTCATGCCATTATATATATATAATGAAAATCAAGAGCACCACCAACCTGCGTTCATTGCTAATGCAAAGAAAATATATTTCACAAACTCTGAANTTAATATCATGTACATGTATGTACTGTAGTTGTAGATATCCTTTTAAAGAAAAAAATATTTCTTGAATACCCAACTCAATATGTTCCCAAGATCCACCATAATTTGTAACCACAAATTACATTTGAAGAAGGTTGTGGACATATTTTTTTAAGTGGAAGTACACTCAGAACAATCTATGCGAGTTAAATGCTACAATCAGGTAAAATAGATAAGAACAGTTTAAAAGAAAAGTTTATGTAATGTATTTTGAGTACATTGTTCATTCTTAATCTTTTTAATACAAAAAATACCATGAATTTTATTGTATGTGTGCACATATTGGCATCTTTTTTTTTTTTTTTCAGTATAAACATTGATATTTCAGCTATTAGTACTCACAGATGAAAATTATAAAATTATCTGGTTTATTTGAGAAAAAACTGACATAGCTCCATATAAACCAGTTTTCTTTAGTTCTTAGAACCGCCTTTTTATGACATGCCCTATTCATTAGAAAATTCCGCTCACCATCATACAGGTGAGTAAGTAATTTGTGTGATGTGTGCAACATCTCATAATGAATTTTAGAGGTCTTCGTGGCTGAAACAAAGCCAATTAAAAAATAAGGTCCCAATACCTCTGAAAGCCTACTAAAAAAAATGAAGCAATTTTATGAACCACCAACCAGCCTCTTTTTAAAAGGAGTTACCATTGAATTTTGCTGCATCAATAGTGATTCCAATCCTGGTATTTCATTGTATTCAACTGCCAAACCCATTATACTCATTCTTAAAGAGGGATTAATTTTTTGAAATAAAAATGTGAAAACATAGACAAGTTCATTTTAGAATGACTTGCAGGAATATTTTGTGTTCGATTCGGGTAATTTTTATTGTTTGTAACATTAGTTCCAATATTGTCATCTCCGTATGTGTAGGCGTCACATGTACTTGCACATGTATTTTTATGGTCATTTTGTTGAATGAAGTTTTAAGTCTTTATTTATTTACAGTGACTTGGAAACTTCAAAATTGAGCAGTTATGTTGTTAAATATTTTAACAAAATAAGAAAAAAATATATCATATGCCAAACAAATGTAAGTTTACATTAGTTTTTCATGTTATTGACATCTAAGTCTACATGCAAATATAATTCAAATATTGTAAAAAAAAATGTGGGGTTATTGGTTCTGTAAAATGAATACAGGTTTTTAAATGTAGTATAGATTTATGTGTGTACACTCTTTTCATGGAACGTACTGTTTTGCTGATGTGGTTCCAGTCTGCTTTGACAAAGGGGTAAGCTTAATTTGACAAGAAAGGTGGGTGAAACACCTACAATTATGAGAGTATATATATATATCATCACCTGGAGGCTGGTTTAAAAGACTTTCCACATCAAGCTGTATACTTTTGTGATTTGGTCTGTATTGGTGCAGTTTAAGAGATTGACAACTTAAGAGGCTGGCTGTTACAGTAGACATGGCCAATTAATAGCCCCCCCCCCTCCCCCAAACAGTAGGAAGCGAAATTGTTAGAATGAGCAAAAACCCTGTTAGTACAATTGCATAGACCTCTTAATATAGTGTATTGGTCCAGACTGTAATGCCAAAATATACCGCTTGATTTGAAAAGAGCCTTGTTTTCAGCTATTTGATTGGCTGATCTAGCAGGACATATTTATGCATATCTCCCAAGGAAATATTGGTAATTATTGCAAACAAATTCTGCTCAAAATAGTTGTTGCCAAGAAACGCATCCCTTTAGTCTTGACACAATCCATTTAATACTCCAATCTATTATAGTGATATTATCATTGATTACAGCATCTTGTAACATCGATAAAGTTTCAGAACAAACAGCATCTTTGTTGAAATGCTTCAGCCATTCTCCTTCCTCATGAAAATGATCCTCATACCACACTTTCCAGTAGTTTATATTTGTATACAAAGCTCACTTGGATGTGGGTTAATAATGTACTCATATTGCAATGTAACAGTATCTTTTTAATGCTCTAAGCACTTATTTATGTTTATAAAAATTAATGCATAATATTAACAGGTATATACAGTAGTTGGAAGAAGCTGTACATGTATGACAGAAGTGATAAAGTGGTAAAATTGCAAGATTGCTCAACAGTGTACATATATTTTATGCTGTATATATACTTATGTGATGTCTAAATGGAAGAAAATTATAATAAATGTTGTGTTCAGTGTTGAGGCAAAAATTGTTTATCGTTGCTGGTTTGAGTTTCTGTAAGATGTAATGCAGTCAGCTTGCAGAGAAATTAAAATTGTTAGTCTTATACTGGATCAAATGTTTATAGACAGCCAATACACATGGAATGTCCATTCTTTATTTGGAGCACAATAATAGAATTTAGTTCTATCATTTCTATCAGCAAAATTGAAAATGTGCCCACTTTTGAATAATATTACTGTCTGTCTTTCAAAAAGAATAATATACTGAAAATGTCTTCTATCTCTTCATTTTACTAATTTGAAATTATATCAGTTATTTCACCAAAAATTAGAAAAAAAATTTTATTATGTTTTGATGAAACATGAAGAACATAAAATTGAAACCATTTTTTACATTTATTGGCTAGTTATGTTACACATCATGCAAAGACACTCATAAAATGTTATTATATTGTATCCTGCATAAAAAATTTCCTGTGTTCACAATTCTATCACAGTTAAAGTTCACAGAGAATTATATACATATCAAAAAGTCAATTCAATACATACTCTGCCAAAATAATTAAAAGTACTTTTTTACCAAAAAAAATTAAATAGATATAAACAGATACATAAAAATATTAAATCAGCATGGACGGAGTGTTCAGTTGTTTCGAGAAAGTGCTTTCTCAATTTACAATTCTTTTTTTAATTTTAAATTTACAATGTCTTCTTCCCTAGTTTACAAAACCTATGTAAACTGTCCAGTGGTATTCTATATCCTCTCCTTTGCTTTTATCTTGGGCTTTCTACAAATAAAATTCAAAATGTCAGTATTGAAATATGGTCTTCCATATTTTTTACCTACTGCAATATATACATTCAATTTAAATACTTGAGTGTCCTGTGTTCAATGCAAAATCTAACCAGATTTATTTTCTCTCATAATTATTTTTTATTCTAAATCTCTATATTTGTATTTTTTTTCATTTATATTTTATTTATGTATTTATTTTCATTCCTCCTCTGTGAGGCAAATGCAATGACAGTTAAAACCTACTGATTACTTAAATAATGAAGAAAATCTTCGCTAGAAAAAAAATCTAGGCAGAGAGATGTTGACCTACATGTTTACCTACCCACTATATGGTCCCTTCTAGGCCTTATAATGCCTTGCCCTGCAGGGGGGTGAGTGGCAACTAACAGCACACCAGGTCCAGTAGTTTTAGATAATCCGCTTTGGTCATAATCATAGCCAGTCATCACAGGTGAGATTGGTTAAAGAAAAATGTGGACAGTTTGACACAAATTCCTAATAAATCATGATTGAGCAATTATTTTTGCATTTATTTAATAGGGTTCAATACTACTACTAAGACCACATGCCATGCCCCCCCCCCCCTCAAGAAAGCAACTGCCTCTTTACTTGTCAAAGTTAACAAAAAAAAATTGTACTCATGCCTTTGTATATATAATGAAAATCAAAAGCACCACCAACCTGTGTTCATTGCTAATGCAAAGAAAATATATTTCACAAACTCTCAAACATAAACAAGTTGGCTTTTTTTGACAAACATTACCATAATCCTGCTTATAAAAATTGCACTACAGACTTGCTAATCAAGTTTGAAGTGTCATTATTCATCGAGATCCCAAACAACTCGAATCTCACTTTCATCACCAATGACTGATCTCATGTTATATCACTGCCTTTCTGTAACCTGCTGAACTCCTGGCAGGAGCACAATGCTCCTCACGATCACTGCTACTTTAACCTGTCAAATCACGGTCACAATTCACTTACAACACATGGCTGTTACCAATTCATCAAAACAATGCATTAAAATGGCAGTGTAGACACCTGTTTTCATCTTGACTGTCTGTGTATGGGTAATTAAATAATCCGATAAACAGCCATTACTTGTGCTGGGAACACATCTCTTAATGCAACTAATGGACAAGCTGTGTCAGATAGCTCTTTCCATTAACTTGCTGCCTTTAAGTAATACAGTGGATTTCAAGTGATGCCTTGACGCTGCACTGCTCTGCCTGCAGTTATTTGATTAATTTGACATATCCTGGAAATGGACTTATTTTCCTCTTTTTCTTTCAAAAAGATAATGTGGAAAATGCACTTTTTATTCAAATTTGTGATCATAAATCAACTATGATATTTAAAAAAGAGAGAAATAAAAAAGAGAAGAGACAAAGAGAGAGAGATAGAGAGGGGACAGATTAAATTTCCTTTTTATATTGATGCCATCACAAAATTGCCATTTTTAGAAAGGATATTTGCAGCAACTGGTAAGAAGAGCTGATCAGTTTCTGTAATTATTTCCAGGTTGTGTGCCACTGTTCCTATGCCACTCTCTCCTTCCACGCCCACAGCAATGGCATACAGCTCCAACCGCAACTCTGCCTTCATTCCTGCAGCAATCTAAATATAAATCAAAGTATTACAAAATAATAAACTGATAAAAAATTAATAACAACAACAATAATAATAGTAATAATAATCAGAATTTTGTGATACAATGAAATATGCTTATTATTTCTATTTCCGTTTTATTCATAAATATTTCAATTGAGAGCAAATTTTAAAAACCATAAGAACAATTGCAACAGCAACATAACTGAAATGTCTAATAAAATGTTTATGAATACATCTAACAAATTCTACAAAATTTAATACACCAATATGTTTATTCACCAGTAAGCATTTGTTGTCAATGTTTATTTTCACTTTTTTAAATACAGAAACGTTTGCTTGCATCAGATATTGATTTCTGTGCACTGCAGTCAGCACTTTCACACATACGTAAGTGCCTTTTACCCAGGGACTGCGATGATGTCTCATTATAATGTTTGTGATCACAGTCATCCACATACTTGGTAGTAAATTAGCACCTAATCAAGCACTATCTTTGGACATAAATATTGTTCACAAGGAAATGAGAGGAGAACTTGTTAAAACAACAGGAAAAAAATTAAGCACTTAAGACTTCTAATAGGTCTGATTATCACCCAATATTAAGTGTTAATACCAGTCAAAAACCTTGGCACAGAGAACCAATTATAGGTATTTTGCTGCTACCTTTGCACTATATCATGTGAGACAGCCCTGACAATGTACGTCTACTGGTTCAATAATGCCTGCACTCTTATAAAGGTTAAAAAGAACATGTAATATCACACTCAGATCAAACTCCTAGTAAAAAAACAATTAAGTTTCTCTGAAACCCCAAGCTCCGTGCACTCAATCTATGGGGTCAAGTCAATAAGAAACTCCAATCTGAACTTAAATTCGAGTGTCAGTAAGTATACCTTTACAGGGAAGCATGCTATCTACCAATCTTGCCCATATATATCATGACATTTTTTTAGTGCAAAGAAAAAGTCACAAAACATTCAACAGATAATTGAAACATGAACCTTACCAATCCAGGCATATACAAGACCTTCAATCCAGTTGAAGGCGGAGGCTGGCGAACTTTGTACCTGCAGGAGTCCACGCCCGTGTTCTTGAGGAAGACGGTGAAAGAATAAGTGTAACCCTCCCTTAGCATACCAAAATCTACTTTATCTGGGAGGAGCTCAAATCCTCGTAGGCTTTCTAGTTGGGATTTCCCTTTCAGGGTGGCCCCCGCAACAGATGATGTGTGCACTCTCCTTCTTACAGGGTCTTCAATAGCACGGAACTAAAATAGAGAAATAAATAATTTACAAAACTAACAACTGATCCAAAGCAATGTCTGTTTCATTTACATTTTATTTTCATAAACAGGAGAAAACTGTTAATTTACAAATGAGAACAATGCAAATCATCCCAGGATATTTTACCAGCTTCATAAACAATAACATCTTTCAAACCAATTTATATTTTCTTCTCAAAACAAAACTGAAGTAAGGCAATTTTGAAGGCTGGTTTTACTTACATATAAGCATTCACTAGTGGTAATTATTTTTTAAAAGTTGATATTCTGCTTAGGAAACAATTTCAAAGGCAGTGTGAAGAACTGGACAAAGATACTCTAAAAGATTTCAGGCCAAATACAGTATGTGTAATAGGATTTATAAATATACATATATGGCCACTTCCACACTCATACCCACCCAATCACCCAAATATGTAATTTGGAATGAAAAAATTCCCAAGTCATACTTTCTGGGGAGACTATTCCCAGTCTGATCAATAGGTTTTGATTACAGCTGCCATGATCTCTCACCTTCTGGTTGCTTAATCCCCCTGGTCTCCCACCTCTGATGTAGGCAGGGACATGGACTGGCTCCTTCCTTGTCTCCCCTATCACGTCTACCTGCAGGCTGCGAGTCAACACAATCTGGCTCTCAGCCGATGGGGCACCAACTTCATCATATGCTGAAAATTTGGAACCATGACATCAAAGATGGGGGGCACATCAACTACTTTGTTTGGTGTTAAAATCGTACTGAGACTTAAAAATGGATCACATAATTAAGCAAGTTTGCTATTACATGTACCAAGTGCAAAATGTGTCTAATTAGATCTTGAACAAGGAAACTGTTGAGTCCAAAATTGAAAAAAAAAAAAAAAAAAAAAAAAAACTCAAGATAATCATTTTACTAACACAAAATTTTTTGCATTTAGACCACATTCTTACTGAAAATGTCTAAATATATATTAGTATCACTTTCCATGTACTCTCCTCAGCCAATACATTAAACTAAAAAGATATGTAGTTTTTGTTTTAAAGATTTGATTTCAAGAAGCAGTCAGACAGACTTTATCAATTTTCTTAAAATATTACTCAAGAAGTGTAAGCATGCATATCTATTTGATAACTTAGACACATATTGATCACCCTTTTGGTAACTGGTGTGTTTTATCAATACACCCACATGATTCCTTGATGTTGTGACAAACATGGCTAAAACACAATCATGAGCACAACCACAGTCACATCCAAACACAATGACACATCAACTCATCATTTTCTCTATTCACAGTTAGATTTAAAACTTCCTGATACCTGCATTATATTCAATACCATCAGAAAATGTTCTCCCAGAAACTATTCAGAAAACAGCTCAGCAAGAAATAGTGAAAATACAGTCAGTAAATATCTATCTTCAACTGTTCCCTAAGGCCTTTTTTCTCTGGAAGCCTTAAGAATACACCCTGGGCTTCAGAGATAACTGAAACTTCACTTCATTCTGCAGAGGTATGCTGATAATACCAGTGAGTTAGTACCAAAGTCTGAAACTCAAGGTGTAAGGCCTCTACTATAAACCTGTACATACCTTCCTCCGGAATGGGCTGCTCTGGAATGCTGGGATGACAGGTGGGTGACCAGTAGCTGGACGGTGTCTCTGAGGGCATGGGCTGGGCATCACCAGTTTGTTTAGGAGTGGGATTGCCTACATAATTTAAAGGGTCATGACTTAATGCTTATAACTGAATTAACTGCAAAAACCATGTTTTTATTTTTCATTATTGATTATATGCTTTCTGAATAATATTTTATAATCTAACTTTCTATCTGTGAGGTGAATTGCAGTCTTAATCAACTGATCTCTTGAAATCATTATCATTTTAAAATATAAACCATATAAGGTTATATAAACAGTTCCACTTTATGTCAAAACTTTTCACAATATTTATGACATGTGGTAATGCAAGTTCACATGTACCTGGCTTGTCATAATAAGCCTACATGTAATAGTGAAGCATACTTGTTAAATTCCACCTGTTCTTTTTGCATTGAGTTTGATTCCAAGACAGTATTTTCTCAACATTGCCAACATGTTTTGCTACAGGATGGCTTATTAGTTTGGACCCTTCTTTCACTGTCAGCTGTTAATATCTGCACTTTGAAATCTGACACTTTCACATTAGTTTCTTTGTCTACTTCCTGCTCAATTTTTGCTGATGTTAATCTCACGCTAGTCTATCAATTGCCATCACATAAGTACATCATTTGGTATATGAAAAAAAAAAATGCACTTAATGCCTCGTGCCAAAATCTCGACAACATAATGAATCTTAATTTTCCAAATCAGCTGCTTGTCAGTGCACCATTTGGTCAAGTACACTGCATGTCAATGCCAGGTTTTGAAGTACAGAAGGAACTGTTACTCTGTCATTCTTAGTGCATGAGGCACAACAGCTGGCCAGTTTGTGCAAGATTCCATCAACTTAATCACAGCATTAACTCTGCTATTTCACCTCCGTCAGCCATAAAACTCTGACCTTTGCATCGATAAAATTCATATTTGACAATGAACTTATTTGCCTGTCTTGTCTTATTAAAAATAGAAAATGGTTTTGAGACAGTGAAAACTCTTACCTGGTCTGTCGGGGAAAGTTTGAGTGGAGTGCAACGGGGTGGGATTCTTGGGTCTCAGTGGTGAAGGTGACCCCTGACCTGTGGCGTGTGCTGGCGTAGGGTTGCCTGGGCGGAGATTGGACTGCATCGAGTCTGTTGCAATAAATGCTGGAATCGACAGCGAGTAAATGACTTTATGATCTTTGTACTGAATTTAAAAGGGGTAATATTTTCATATGGCATTAATTATTCATAATGGATGACACCCACTTAAAACCAAACAGCACAGTCAAATGTTTTAAATTAATGCATTTGTACTGCTTGACAGTGCAGCTTTCAGTAAGAGATGGAGACTTGAGTGGACTTATTTCAACAATTGAATTTTAGTGCAGAAAAACATGTTGCAACTTGCTGCTGCATTTATACTACTGCCAGGACGTTCTCAGTACATTATAGGACTACAAACTATAATATGTACTGTCATGGGAGTAATTTGAAATTTCTTCAATTGTCAACCTAAAAACACATTCCTTGCATATAAAGCCCTATCAAAGACAAATCATTACAGAACATACTGGGCTGTCAAGTTGTAAAGAAATATAGAAAACTGTACATTTTATCACTGATTTCAAACAACTAAGCAAACATGCATAAATATGAAAGAAATATTTTTTAAAAAATTAAAAACTCCAAAAAAATGTTTTAGGATAAGAGGATAATACATTTATTTACCAGTATTTAGAGGAGAAGAGGGGGAGAGGGTCACTGGGCACATACCTGGTCCAGCAGGTGAAGGAGAGTCATAAGCTGCAGCAGTTCTTTGCTGTGTGTTCTGCATACCTGGAGAAGAGGAGCTCTGAGAACCATCACTCTGCTTGTCTGAAATTACAAAAAATTTGGATATTTTGATAATTTTTATATCCAAATAAGGCAACCCACAAAGGGTTATCTAGGCTGGTTTTGCTTTTTCTGCCCACAACAATCCCTTCCTCTTACTGCACCCAACCCCTTGATAAAATACTATATTTTACTACAAAGTGCCTCTCAGCATATACTAAGTATCATGCTGATGCCTACTAACACAGCTGCATAAGGGATGATAACGTGAACTGAATACAAAATTAACACAGAATGCTTACAATACGTTTTCTCAAGTACAAGTAACAAAGTGACTGTAAATACTTACAAGGAGGTGGAGCACTGCTTCTTTCTTCCACAGCAGGAGTGCTGCTTGCACTGCCTACAGCTTGGTGGCCATCTTGTCTCGGGTCCTCAGACAGCTGTCTTGTCATGGCTTCCATGTCTGGAGCCTACAGGGTACAAGAGAATGGCACTTTTTTAGTTAGAGAAATCATTCTAATGTACCAGCATCAGAATTGATATCAAAATTTACAACTTTGTCAATTTTGATTAATCAATAATCTAAAATTTACTCATACCTGAGACAGTAAAAACGCCTTCCCGAATTCACTCTGGAAATATGGTGGGATGGACCTCTTTCTCAGTGCATTTCGTCCATCTATTTCTTCTGCCAGTTCTCTGCGGTCCCTCTCCCAGTCTGCAGCTGTTCTTTTAGGGCGTGGTGTAGGAGGAGGGCTGGGAACTGGGGGTGCTGTAGCATCTTGGTATAGCTTCTCCACATTGGCTGGAATGAAAGGTAGACAAAGTTAACATGATTTTATACATAGTCTAGCAATACTAGAAGAGGCCTATATATGTATCGGGAAAAAATTATTCAAAAAAGACATTTTTAAAAAAGATAATACTTCAAAAGACATAAAGCATACAGAGAATATCCTTATTAAAAGTGAAAAATTCTTTAAAAAGTGATAAACAGAACACTTCAAAAAAAATAATTCATGGAGGAAATAAACAAGGAGGTTATATAATGATACACTAAAAAATACACTTACCTTCAATTTCTTTAATCTGCATCTTTTGCAGTCTAGGAGAAACAATGGCAGACAGCTCTGCTGCCTGGTTTTGCTCTGTAGGGGTCCTTGGATCCTTGACCAACAGGTCTGCTGTGTGGAGGTTCCTCTCTCTAACAAACTCTGCATACTCTCTCAGGCCATCCCCAAGCCTGTAAGGTTGAAAGGGTAATATCATGTTTTTGCTTTAAATATCATGGCATAGTTGAGTGACATTATTAGATTAAAAGAAAATCAAAACTCTAACTGCTGAATCAATTATTTAAAATTCACTCTTACCTGATAGCAGATTCTTCATTCTGGAAGACACAGTGCAAAAATACTACAAGGAATAGTGTAAGATGGTCTTTTGTCATTGAAATGTTGACTAAGACATCTAAAGGCAGAGTATTTTGCCATATGTCAATCCTCTGCAGAAATAGAAACAGAGACCTATGAAAGCAGTCTAAAACCCTTGCTTTACATATACAAATCAAAAACAACAACATGCAAACTTACTTTTCTCTCAGTTGTGCACTGACAGGCTTATACTGTACAAACTGCCTCAGTTCCAAGACGGAGGGGCACTTGAGCAATTCATACTTGGGTTTGGGTGGCACTGCACTACCTATGGCCAAACCCTGTCCTACGTTGGTACCAAATTTGGGCCCAGGTTTCTTAAACTCCTTGGGTGGCAAGGTCTTCAAGTCTCTTGATCTCAACCCACTTGGAATGATGTTGTTTTCCTCATAGTTCTTAAACCACCTGTCAGACGGTCCCCCTTTGTAAGGTCTGAGGATGGTGATTCCTGTCACCCCAGGGTAGTCTGGTAGAGGTTCCTTGATGATTGCAGTGGATTTGTCAGTCTCAGCNCAAAGTGACTTACAAGGAGGTGGAGCACTGCTTCTTTCTTCCACAGCAGGAGTGCTGCTTGCACTGCGTACAGCTTGGTGGCCATCTTGTCTCGGGTCCTCAGACAGCTGTCTTGTCATGGCTTCCATGTCTGGAGCCTACAGGGTACAAGAGAATGGCACTTTTTTAGTTAGAGAAATCATTCTAATGTACCAGCATCAGAATTGATATCAAAATTTACAACTTTGTCAATTTTGATTAATCAATAATCTAAAATTTACTCATACCTGAGACAGTAAAAACGCCTTCCCGAATTCACTCTGGAAATATGGTGGGATGGACCTCTTTCTCAGTGCATTTCGTCCATCTATTTCTTCTGCCAGTTCTCTGCGGTCCCTCTCCCAGTCTGCAGCTGTTCTTTTAGGGCGTGGTGTAGGAGGAGGGCTGGGAACTGGGGGTGCTGTAGCATCTTGGTATAGCTTCTCCACATTGGCTGGAATGAAAGGTAGACAAAGTTAACATGATTTTATACATAGTCTAGCAATACTAGAAGAGGCCTATATATGTATCGGGAAAAAATTATTCAAAAAAGACATTTTTAAAAAAGATAATACTTCAAAAGACATAAAGCATACAGAGAATATCCTTATTAAAAGTGAAAAATTCTTTAAAAAGTGATAAACAGAACACTTCAAAAAAAATAATTCATGGAGGAAATAAACAAGGAGGTTATATAATGATACACTAAAAAATACACTTACCTTCAATTTCTTTAATCTGCATCTTTTGCAGTCTAGGAGAAACAATGGCAGACAGCTCTGCTGCCTGGTTTTGCTCTGTAGGGGTCCTTGGATCCTTGACCAACAGGTCTGCTGTGTGGAGGTTCCTCTCTCTAACAAACTCTGCATACTCTCTCAGGCCATCCCCAAGCCTGTAAGGTTGAAAGGGTAATATCATGTTTTTGCTTTAAATATCATGGCATAGTTGAGTGACATTATTAGATTAAAAGAAAATCAAAACTCTAACTGCTGAATCAATTATTTAAAATTCACTCTTACCTGATAGCAAATTCTTCATTCTGGAAGACACAGTGCAAAAATACTACCAGGAATAGTGTAAGATGGTCTTTTGTCATTGAAATGTTGACTAAGACATCTAAAGGCAGAGTATTTTGCCATATGTCAATCCTCTGCAGAAATAGAAACAGAGACCTATGAAAGCAGTCTAAAACCCTTGCTTTACATATACAAATCAAAAACAACAACATGCAAACTTACTTTTCTCTCAGTTGTGCACTGACAGGCTTATACTGTACAAACTGCCTCAGTTCCAAGACGGAGGGGCACTTGAGCAATTCATACTTGGGTTTGGGTGGCACTGCACTACCTATGGCCAAACCCTGTCCTACGTTGGTACCAAATTTGGGCCCAGGTTTCTTAAACTCCTTGGGTGGCAAGGTCTTCAAGTCTCTTGATCTCAACCCACTTGGAATGATGTTGTTTTCCTCATAGTTCTTAAACCACCTGTCAGACGGTCCCCCTTTGTAAGGTCTGAGGATGGTGATTCCTGTCACCCCAGGGTAGTCTGGTAGAGGTTCCTTGATGATTGCAGTGGATTTGTCAGTCTCAGCTCCTGCAATGTAATCAGCAATGTCCTGATATCGGAGGAGTTCAGTGCCACTGCCATTGCCATGAATGATGAAAAACCTGGGTGCATGCTGTTTGTAGAGTATGATTTCTTTTTTCTCCACGAATGCATTCTCCACCTCCTTGTCCTCCACCTCCAGTTCACTGCCAGAAGGGCTCATCACGATGGTGTCACCATTGTGCTTCACACTGAAGATATTTCCTTCATTGTCCACAGTCTCACAGATGACATCTGCATGGTGGCGCATTGCATACACCAGTTTCTGATTGGCAGAGGCAAACTCGATGTTATTGTTAGGCTTGGGGTTGTACACTGCACTTCCCTCCTCATCCACAACCAGGTTGCCACCATCTTGGTGTGAGATGGTATAGCAGCCATTAGGTGTGGTGTGGATGACGGAGCCAGTGCCAAACTCAGTCTTCCAGCAGCCAGTGGCAGTGTTGTAGTCCAGGGTGGCGTAGCCAGGACACTCCACCTTGAACATCTGAACAAGTGGAGTCTCCATCTTCACATCCTCGCCTATAATAAGACAATACATATGACTTGATGTGACATTTATGTCATCAAAAATTAATTTGAGTGTTAAAACATTATTGGATCTTAAGCAAAGATAGTTAGAGATTGTTATGATATACTGTGAACAGTCAAATTAATAAAAAAACATTTTTTAAAATGTTCTTGCCTGTAATGTAACAAAAATCAACATTTTAGATAATATCTAATATCTTGAAAATTGAAAACATAATTGAAGATGGTGAGAGAAAGGTATGAGTACCTTTGGGCAATGGAAATAAACTGAGATATTGAAACTGCAAAGAAGTAAAAGCACATTTTTAGTACAACACAACCTGTATCAGCATTGTAGGCAATTATATGTATTTTATTCAGTAGAATGAATAAAGTAATGAAGGTGTACCTGTGTCAGCACTGTGTTGGTACATCTCTTCCTGTACAAAGTAAGTGGTTATCCTGGTCCCATCACTATGCTGGACTATTCTCTTGCCGTCCGGGTGCTGCACTATCATTACATGGTCCTCTCTGGTGGTCAGCATCTAAATATTAAAATTTCATAATAAAAATGAGTGGAAGCGTTTAGTCATCCAGTAGAATTACAATATATATTTAATATTTATAATTACAGTTGCACTTAAATTTGCTATGTGTAGTGCAAATGCATGACTTGATATGATATTGCATGCATGTTGTTGTAAATACAAAGATTAAATTTATACATAAGTCTACATGCAATCTTAAAGTTTCATTAATATATGGATACTAACTGCATACTAATATGATATTCATAGTATCATATTCAAATTTTGTAACCACTATGTACAAACTGTTTTTTTTTTAACTGTAGACATGTTGGTTATCATATTGACAATGTAATGTCTTGTAGTGAGTTTGAAGCATTTTTATGTATCATTTTTATAATGCTTGAAATACATTTGCTGCATTTTGTTTATATTGGAAAAAAGTTGAAGAAGTACTCAAATGCACCTGTTTGCTCTCTGGGTCCGTGGCATATGTAAACAGAGCAGCTGGCAGAGGGGTTGATTTTCCATCTGGTTTCACAGAAATTCTCTCACCAGATGGCATGGTAGTGATGCATTCACCTTTTGGCTCTGATTCCTCGACAGCCAGATTATCTGGCTGCTTTTCTGCAAGCTGTGCACTCTTTCTCTGTTTGCCACCTAGAAATAAAAAGTAAAAATTCTAACAAACCATACATAATTTTAAGTTTCATCACCTGATATGACCATACACGCTCACATCAATGAATTCCACTTATCTTTTACAAAACTTTGTTGATGCATTTTTATTTCAATATTTCACTTTCATCCCTTTTTTTCAATCCAAACAACATTCAGGCATAGAAAGAGATAATATATCACTTGTGTTTATCATAATTTTACCTTTCTTAGGTGAACTTGGTTTCTCTTTCTCTTTCTCTTTTTCATCTTTGTCTGCCTGACTCTTAGCACTGTTGATTCTACTAGGAGAACTCATTCTGCTTGGAGGTAGTGGCACAAAATTCCCAGTGATGTTACTCACAGTGCCATCTGCATACAAAATCTATGAAAAAGAGAAAAATATTAGCATATTTTTATGGTGAAGTTACTTTTTGAAAAACAGGGATATCAAACAATTTCACACACAGGATCCTATTATTTGGGTTTTGAAATTAAAATATTAGCAAAGTGCAAGTACTGTATTTGTTTCTAAAAACAGAAATTACTATGCATAAACACTACATATAATATAGTTAAATAATTTTTACTTTTGCAAACTCTACATTTTTATCTTGATAATTTTCACTCAACTTTACTCAAAATCAATAAATCATTGGCCATTTATTTTTGCAACAAACCTACCTGTAGAGAATCATCTTGGAAAAACCTGATAATGTTTCCCTCACAGGTCACCAAACGAGAAGCTTCCTGCATGGCTGGCACTTTACGCTTGGCTTCACAGTCTTGTTTACCATTGGTCTTGAAGGGGTAGCTCTGCTTCACTATCACTTTTCTATCATTTTCATCTGCGGGTATCACACCTATATAAAACAATTAATTTTTACTTTTTAGTTAGTACCCCTGAATTGACAAATTATTATATTTTTGATTTTGACAAAATAAGAATAAGAAATGGACAAAATTTAATATCAGTAGTTACTTTATTTTTTGCAAATGGTTACAAATTCATCCTAAATAAAAGCAGGCCCTAAATCCTCTCTTCTTTTTAAATTTATACAGATTTTCAGATTGAAGTGATTTTGTGAAACTGGCCTAGAGCACTGCACTCACCACAATGGCTCTCCAGCATATACTGAATGGTCAGACCATCAGGACAGGAGACAAACAGTTCCTGAAATGGTTGCTCAGGTACCAACTCTTCTTCTATCTTTATGTCATCTTTAGGTTCCTCATCCTTGTAAGAGAAATGTATTTTTATATGACAAGCATTTAGCCCATATTTTTATGGTGAAGTTACTTTTTTGAAAAACAGGGATATGTTCTTCAGATGCACCCACCCCTGCAACCCATATCTAGTAGGTCTGTATTTCATATTTATCAATATTTTTATTACCTGGATTGTGGGCTCTGGGGTTGCTGCAGCTTTGTCCTGTGCTCCTTTGCCTTTATCTTTGCCCTTTCCTTTAGCAGGGCTGGCCTGGGCAGGACTGGGACTCCTGGGAGGGGGCGCCACATAGGGCTCTGGTTGTGGCTTCTGGCCTAGAAATCATAACATGTGGCATGAGGTATGATCTGTATGTCTTTGGATTACTAGTATGTACATGTTGCTAGAGGAACCTCTGCTGTATATATGCTCTAAATTTAGTTGTTTTGGTACAAAGGCAAATAGCAGGTTGTTCTAAAACTATTTGTGCATTGAAATGATAAAAAAACTAACATATATGCTATTTTAAGATTTAATGACATAAAACATACAACATACTACTAAAATCCTGAAAAAACAATAAACCTCAAATCCCAGGCTTAAAAAGAAAAAATGGAAAAAAAACATGCTCACCATCTGGTCCAGCTGGCACACCATTGCCACCATATACACTAAAGGACAGGTACATCCCGTCCTGCATCTCAGCACTAAAAGAGCCAAAGTAGGCTACAGACGGTTTCTTGGGTGGTTCTTCTGCTCTGGGTGATGAAGCCTCCTCTTTTCCAACCTCATCTCCTGCCATTTCACCGGAATGAGACCCAGTTTCTGATTTCAAACAAATTCAACACAAATTATTAAACAAGGTTGAATGGCAAGGATAAATGGTGCCATTTACAGTTTTTAATTCTGGCTATAAAGTTCAATAATTTATCAAAGCAAGGGGCCATGTGTACATAGCAATAACACAAAAGACTTAATTGCTCCCATATGTTTAAAAAAATGAAAAGCACCTTCTTTCTCTGATTTTTCAAATTCTGCCTTTTCTCGACCATCCTTGCTCTCTTCCAAGTCATCTATCTCTGCCTCCTTCTCCTTGGGGTCCAGCAGATGGATAGTGAACAAATGTCCATCCTTCACCACACTGGTCTTCACACTTGTTTGACCTGGTCAAAAACAACATAAAGGTTATATGTGACATTTTGATAAGATTTTGTTCAATTTTTTTTTTACTTTTATAAGCACTCAATGACCAATAGTATCCTCAGTTATATCAATTCAGTTAGGATTCAAATTTAATTACAACTAACTTTTACAATTAGTAAGTAGGGATAGAAAAATAAAAAGTGTGGATTAGTATATATTTGTGTCCCTCTCGTACCTTGCACATAATCGACTCTCTCTGTCCTGATGAGTCCTCCATCAGCAGGGAACAGGTTGGATACAGTGCCAGTGGCATGGATCAAATCATTACACACATCATAGCCAGTAAACTGGAATATAATCATCACAGGTTTTTAGGTACTGAGCTTGCTTGTATATTAGCATAACTCTTACAATAATAATAATAATAATGAAAGTAGTGGTGTTAGTCTTTCACTGGTTTTCAAATGTAGGGCATATGTTTTTGCAATTTCACACATTTGATGAAATAACAAAAATTCTAGAACTACCAGACATGATTCATCTAATTTCTCCCCGTCTGCACCTTCAGCTGAGGAATACATATTATTAGTAAAATTTTGAGGTATCCCTACATTGGTCCTTGTTTAAATATATGTCTTAAATGTGTCAGAACATCCATCACAAACAGTTTCCTGTTGGTCAGTTGTTAGCATGTCAAAGTCAAATATTGATCTAAAAACTACTCTAGCTATATATATCTAAAAATGGCAACTTGACAGACAGACTCACCGGCCAATGCTTCCCAGCATCTTTCAGTTCATCCTCAGGAGGTGCAGGAGACACAACGTCCTCCTTGGACTTCCTGGACCTGGCACTCCCCCTGGAGCCTGACCTCGGCCGCTTTTTCTTTTCTGCCTCCTTCTCTTTCTCCTTGGCTGCAGCAGCATCAGCCTGAAATAGTAATGATATGCAAATTATAATGACTTGTACTAGTAGAAATGTTTTGTTTGCTATGTTGTAAAAAGTGGTTATGGAGATCAAACCTGAAATGAACAAACAATATATTGTACAGTGTCATATATTTTGAAAAAATATATAATGACAAGTGAAAATAGCATGTGGATACTTGTTCATTCTCTCTCTCTCTCTCTCTCT